GGCCCCACTAACCTGTTACTTTGACAGAAATTTGAGGGTTTGGCCTGGAGACGCAGCTCTGAACCAAGGGTGTCGAGAGAACAAGAGAAGCGGCCTCCCCGGGGGACCCGCTGTGTCTCTGTGCTGACTGCAGCCGGGGCGGCTTCTTTGGTCCAGAGCGGACATTGTCCTGACAGAACCTTCTGTCACTGAGTCCCATGACCAAGTCTCCCTAAGCCCTGGCTGAAACCCTTACACTCGTGACCCTGGCTGATAATCTGGCCTTCCTGAGCCACATCTTATCAAGAATCTACTTCCAGATTCTTCCAGATGTGGAAGATGAATGGAGACATTACTTCTGAGGGGTGAGGGTTGAGCAGGAGATAATATCTGTCTGTGGCTGGTTCAGTTTAGCTCATGGGTTCCTGGGGCATAATCTTCATAGCCAATGAGGACTTAGAGGAAATTCCAGATCAGAGATCTAAGTAGATCCCTTTGTCTCTCTCTCTCTCCCTTTCCCTCTTTCTGTCTCTCTCTCTCTCTCACACACACACACACACACACTCAGCAACACTGGCCTGATCCACACACAGAATACTGCTGGCTTCAGAGAAGGTGAAACCCATCTTGCATCTCCAAACTGAGCCGAAATTACGGATGACAGTGGACACTGTGTGCCTGAAAACGCCCTGACCGCAGATGGAGTTGTAAGCATCGTCACTAAGCACTGGCTTATGAGTGAGACATGTCATGAATTCCCAGCTGGGTGACACTGGGCAGCCCCCTGGACCCCTCTAGGCACCAGGAAAATGCTGGGGAGATGCCCTATAGGCTGCTGTGTGGATTCAGGGAGGCGTCACACATACCACATCTTGTCCAGTTCCTGGCACCCTGTGCTCAGAAAGTACTCGCACTATGTGTTAGCAACACTGTACTCATACTAAGTATAAATCCGTTGTGGTTATTTTATCTTTACCTGGTTTCAAGTCCACTGCTGTTCAGAGAAAAGAAGTTGAAAGGGGCACATAACTCTCAGTCAAGTGTCCCTCAGCCCCAAAGACTGCTCCCCAGACACCCTCCCTCATGGAGAGAGGGAATCACAGAGAAACAAAACTTTACAATCATTGTTTTCAACGTGGGGAATTGATAGGACACCTTGTAATATCATGTAGAGAAAATGAATCCTTGCACAAAATTGAGACTGAGGAAACTCTTTGGAGGGTTATATTCTTATACTTTGCAAAACGGAATTCCCTCACTCGGGGGGACTGGGGAAAAACAACATCCCAGATGGCACAATTCCTAGTGTTCTCTGTGGTGCTTCTCCCTAGGGGTGCAGGGGGGCGGGGAAGGACAGGCACACTGCAGTTCTGGACGTGAATCCACCCATAACCGTGTCTAAGAAGGTGGGGGGAAGACAGCAAAGTCCTCCTCCCAGTCAGGCTCCACGTGAGTGGATGAACCAACCATGACATCATTAGGGCCCCTTTCAAAACCACCAACCAACATTGAGATGCACAGAGATGGAATCAGATTTTGTTGCTGTGTTCTTGAGTTACTATGTGTGCCCAGCATTCCAAGAAGTAAGCCTAAGGGGGACAACCCACCCTGGGGCCAATATTCCATGTGTAGTCTGGAACCTGTATCTGTCTATGTGAGTTTTGTCTTCAAGGGCTGAGTACCCTGGTCTGTGACTGTTATCCATGTAGCAGATACGTTTTACCCTGTCCCACTGTATCTAAAATAAATTCATGTAAAGTGCACATAATGTACAATTCACCATATTAACCATTTTAGAGTAGAACACAACACCATTCTGTGATGGGCACATCTGCAATTTGGACCTTTGTGTGATTTCGGTGAGGCCCTGCCTTGCTATTACTGGGCCATCTGCAAGTGCAGGCCAAGAAGGGAGTGGACACAGGGCCCACACCTAAAGCTAACAAGACAGTGAGATCTGGTCACCACAGGCCAGGTAACCAACACAAAGCCACCACTCACCCTAGACCTTGACACGGGACAGTACAAAAGCCAGCACCTCGCGGAGAGACAGGGGCCGGGGCGGGGGCGCCTACCTGCGGGCTTGGATGCCAGGGGTGAGGGCGGGAACCTGGTGGAGTTGGTGGAAGAGAGTCTGGGCCGGCGTCTCCTGAAGAAACTTCTCAGCAGCCCACACTTGAGAGACTCCACCAGGGTGGTTTTCCCAGAGCCCGAGTGGCCAAACAGCTTCAGTTTGATTCTGGATTGGAGGTTCTGCGTGGGGCGCAGTTGCTGGATGAAGAGTCCCCGGTGAGCATCCTAAACACAGATGAAAAGGGGAGAATTCGTCACAGAACAAGAGAAGGCTCTGAGCAAACCATCAATGTGGGTTCTTGCAGTTTGGAACTCTCGCCGTGTCCTTCCTGATCTGAGATTTCCTTGCGAGGAGAAGTTTTAAGAGCTACTGTTTTAGGCACTTTCAAACATGCAATGCAGTGCTCTTAACTGCAGTCTCGTCCTATGCATCCCGGCGCTTATTTTGTAACTGAAGTCTGTACCCTGGCCTACGATTCTTACCCATGGTCCCATCGTATCTACAAAAAAAAAAATTCATGTAAAGTATAAATAACATACAATTCCCTGTTTTAGCCATTTTAAAGTGGACTGAAGCTCCGAGGCGTGACTACATGTACAGTGTGTGCGACCAGCCCGGCTCTGGTTCCGGAGCATTTCCATCACCTAAGGAAGCTCCACAGCCATCCACGGTCACCCCTCCTTCCCTGCCCAGCCCCTGGAACCACCAATCTGCTCTCTGTCGCCAGGGATGTGCCCAGGTCCGTGGCATTTTGTGCACAAGGAAGGATGGAGCAACTCCTATGAAGCTGTTGATTTTTTAAAAGAGAACCCAGGGCGGCCTGTGAGACTGGCCAGGGGCACCTGCTCCCCTGTGTGGAGGGGTCCTGTTCCGCCCAGCACTGTGATGGTACTGGATGCTGAGAAGGAGGGCATCGTGAGGTACAAACACAAATGCTGTGCGGGGCCGGGGGCCCGATAACCTTCCCACTGTCTTCTCTCTCAGCCCTACAGGGAGAAGCAGGAGAATTCACAGATTCACTCACTCATCAACCAACATTTATGGATGGCCCCCATGGGCTAAAAGCACAATGCATGGAATGGGAAGGTACAGACTGGGTCCAGATCTGTGTCCTGAGGAGACACAGACATGTGAATGCTGACACCAAACATATCAAGAGTGCTTTGGATGGTGTGGGCAGCTCTGTGCACCCAGAGATCCCACCTCGAGGCTGCACAATCATGCATCACTCCCACCCCCTTGGCTCCATCCGGCCTCACAAGCAGCCTCATTTTCCACCCCCAGCTTTCACCCAGCTCCAAAACAGGGGCCCACTGGAGCTGTGGGGTGCAGCCTCAGGGGGATTCCTTCTGTGACCCAGGATGGTCCCACTGCTCTAACCTATTGACTTCCATGCATCCAGGGGACCCCTCCTACTGAGATCTCTCCAGGAACATTCCTCCCCAGGAGGCTCTGGCCCAGGTGGGGTTCTCCACTGTGACCCCACCAGACTCTAGGGTGATGTGGGACACTCTCCCCCTCCCGACTGGGAGCCAACTGAGGGGAGAGACGGTGTCCCCAGCACCTGGCAGGGAGATGCTCAATAAAGAGGTGCGCTGGAAATGACAGGACTCAGGGGGACCCTGCAGAAGCCTCTCAGAGGGAACTGCCGGCTCTCAGTCTCCTGTGACCTCAGGCCTGGCAGACACTGCGTCCACGTGCAAACCCGGGGAGGGGGGTTCCCTGCTGCTCTCTTCCCACTGAGCTACTGTGGCTTCCTCCACCGACCACCCAGCAAGCTCACCTGTCAGACAGGGCTCTGCTGAAGGCTCCCTGTCCTCCCCCAGTTGCTGTGTGGGACTGTGACCTCCCTTCTCCGCGCCGCAACACTGCCCCCTGGTGGGCATGCTGCAAAGGGCGGCTCCTTTTTCAGTTCCTGGGGTTAGGGGTGCTCCTGGATGTGGGTGCTGTGTGTTCAAACAGGTTCACAGAGTGTCCTGCATAGTGACAACTGCCTGGGTCCACCTGACCTCTGAGTGTCTGCTGAGCATTTATATAAGAGAAAAACCTAACATTTATGATCATCTGAACTTAGGATTTAACTGCATGTTCCATGTGACACAGAGGTTTTGGGGGTCGGGGAGCACTGAGGGTTTAATACTACTGACCAGGCTGGAAGAAATGGGTCACTC